TCCCATCTTGTTCCTCATCCTCATATCCGACATAGACAAGGATGTCAGCCACAGCACCGTGTCTTCCTTGCAGATGACACCCGAATCTGCATGACAGTGTCTTCCATTGCAGACACTGCAAGGCTCCAGGCGGACATCAACCAAATCTTTCAGTGGGCTGCAGAAAACAATATGAAGTTCAACGATGAGAAATTTCAATTACTCAGATATGGTAAACATGAGGAAATTAAATCTTCATCAGAGTACAAAACAAATTCTGGCCACAAAATAGAGCGAAACACCAACGTCAAAGACCTGGGAGTGATTATGTCGGAGGATCTCACCTTCAAGGACCATAACATTGTATCAATCGCATCTGCTAGAAAAATGACAGGATGGATAATGAGAACCTTCAAAACTAGGGAGGCCAGCCCATGATGACACTTTTCAGGTCACTTGTTCTATCTAGGCTGGAATATTGCTGACACTAACAGCACCTTTCAAGGCAGGTGAAATTGCCGACCTAGAAAATGTACAGAGAACTTTCACGGCGCGCATAAACGGAGATAAAACACCTCAATTACTGGGAGCGCTTGAGGTTCCTGAACCTGTATTCCCTGGAACGCAAGGAGGGAGAGATACATGATTATTATCACCTGGAAAATCCTAGAGGGACTAGTACCGAACTTGCACACGAAAATCACTCACTACGAAAGCAAAAGACTTGGCAGACGATGCACCATCCCCCCAATGAAAAGCAGGGGTGTCACTAGCACGTTAAGAGACCATACAATAAGTGTCAGGGGCCCGAGACTGTTCAACTGCCTCCCAGCACACATAAGGGGGATTACCAACAGACCCCTGGCAGTCTTCAAGCTAGCACTGGACAAGCACCTAAAGTCAGTTCCTGATCAGCCGGGCTGTGGCTCGTACGTTGGTTTGCGTGCAGCCAGCAGCAACAGCCTGGTTGATCAGGCGCTGATCCACCAGGAGGCCTGGTCACAGACCGGGCCGCGGGGGCGTTGACCCCCGAAACTCTCTCCAGGTAAACTCCAGGTCTCCAGGTATCAGATGTTTGCTTTGACTGATGTCACGTATCAGATCACTGAGTTCTTCTTGGGAGAACTGATGGTGCGTTGAAATACTTACATCATATTCACTGCCACTGCTATCACCTGTGTTACAACATCTGACAATGGAAGGGCACTATCACCTGTGTTACAACATCTGACAATGGAAGGTCACTATCACCTGTGTTACAACATCTGACAATGGAAGGTCACTATCACCTGTGTTACAACATCTGACAATGGAAGGTCACTATCACCTGTGTTACAACATCTGACAATGGAAGGTCACTATCACCTGTGTTTACAACATCTGACAATGGAAGGTCACTATCACCTGTGTTACAACATCTGATAATGAAGGTCACTATAACCTGTGTTACACATCTGACAATGGAAGGTCACTATCACCTGTGTTACAACATCTGACAATGGAAGGTCACTATCACCTGTGTTACAACATCTGACAATGGAAGGTCACTATCACCTGTGTTACATGCTAAACCCTGACTTTCCTCAACATCTGACAATGTAAGGTCAGTCAGTATTGTAAACACTGGTATGGTAACATCTTCGCTGTGTGGCACAGTGATCCTCGCTGACTCCACATCAGGGTATTACCACTTGACTTTCTTGTACCACTTGTAACCTTTCACATTCACCATACAGAAATAACAATCATCGTGGTGATTTTTTGGTTCTTTCCACACCATAGACATACCCAAGTTTAAATTTTTCCTTCGCCTATTTCTCACTGTGGTCAGCATTCTACACAGGTTTTACAGACCAGATCAGAGCCCAAGACTTGTCTTGTTCTCCAAGCGCCATTCCAAAATAAGCAAAATAAACTCTGTGATGCGTTTTCTTTTTTTTTTCTTTTGTGAAGTGCGATCTTTCGCCGCTTAATGTGTGAGCTGAGTGTGCTACCAACCGACATTAGTTTCCATGTGATGACTTGCGATTACCTTCCACCTCAGATCTTCAACACTAACATTTAACTGCATTAAAGACTTATGCCACACTCTGCACTATGCATTGAGGGGCAGGGGGCAGGGGGCAGGGAGCAGGGGGCAGGGGTAGGGGGCAGGGGGCTGGGGTTATGCAATGTGGGATGACTGTCTCTGTTGGCTGGCTACCCTGGCCATGCACGGCCAGTTGCACTAGGACGTACGTAGTGTCATACAAGAAAATGGATAACGCCATCATTACAAAATTGGATAAGTCTAAGGCAACAACAATTGCAACTTCAACAACAACAGCAATAGCAACAACAGCAACAGCAACAACAAGAGCAACATCAATAGCAATAGCAACAGTAAACTCTTAAAACACTGTAATAGACAGGGTGCCACGCATCAGCTACGTCTAAGCCTCAAGAAAGCCTGTTGTTGTTGATACAGATAGGCGTCGACTCGCCCCTTTGTAGTGTAAGTTGTTGAATCTCAGCTCCTGGCCCGTGCCTTTCCGCAGGCCGCTACTGGGTTTTCCCTCTCCTGGTTGCATAAACTTTATCATACCTATTCTTAAAGTTATGTATGGATCCTGCCTCTACCACCTTGCTGACTGTGTCGTACCACTTCCTGACCACTCTAAAAGCAAAAGAGGTATTTTTGTAACAGTCCTGTAACTCGTCAGTGTTTTTAACTTCCAGATGTCCCCTCATTTACCCAAGACTCGCCTCTCAAACTCGCCCTATCCACCCTGTCAGTTCTTCAAAGTATTTTGTACGTCGTAATCAAGTCACCTCTGGTCCTGTTCTCTAGTGTCTATCAAGTTCCTCTAATCTCTCCTCATGGCTTAGACCCCTCAGCTCTGGGACTAAATCAGCTATCTAATGGTTGCTAATATAACCATGATTTTTAAACAGATGTAGGGGTAAGCCAGTGGAAGGCCTCGGTCAGATTATCAAAAACTCCAACTGAGGGTCATTATATAACTAAAACCCGCGTCAAGAAATACTTGTCCTGTTTCCTGACAAACCTAACCTAACCTAACCTTTGGGACTAATCTTGTTGCACACCTTTGCACTTTTCCAGCTTCATGACATACTTTGTCAGGTGTGGTCCTGATATATGTCTCCTTGTTGACGGCTACTCTTTAACATGCTACTCTTTAACATGCCAGTCTTGTGATTTCTGCAGTTGATGTGCCTTAGGCGAAATGTTCACAATTATGCTCACACCGAGGTTCTTCTCTTTCAAGGAGGTTTGCAGCTTTTGTCTCCCGATCCTGTACTCTGCTTCCGGTCTTCTGTACCCTTCCCCAGTTTTCAGAATTTTGCATATGCTGAGGATAAATTGTAATAGCCACTTGTTAGACTATATCTTACAGCTTGGCTAGTTTATTTTGTAGTTTTTTCTGGCTTGCTCATGTGTGTTTGTGTGTGTACACACGTTTGCTCAGCTCCTGGCCCCATCTCTTCTCTAGTCGTTAGTTGTTGGCGCACTCAGCTCACACACTGATGTCCGGGGGTTGATCCTCAGTACGGCTGGTAAAATTAGGATGTGTTTCCTTAAGAAACCTGCTGTCCCTGTTCACCTAGCAGTAAAATAGGTACGTGGGTGTTAGTGGACTGGTGTGGGTCGCATCCTGGGACAAAACTAACCAAATTTGCCAGAAATGTTGTGCATAAGAGGCTTTCTATATAGTAATATGTCACTGATGTCGACTAGGCCTGTTATACTTGTAGAAATAAAGATATTATTATTATTATTATTATTATTATTATTATTATTATTATTATTATTATTATTATTATTATTATTATCCACCCACCTACCTACCCACCATACCTACCCACCTACAAACCTACCTACCACCTACCTTCCTACCGACCTACCTACCTACCCATTTACCTACCCCTACCCACTCATCTACCTACTCACTTACCAACCCACCCGCCTACCTACCCATCCACCTTCAACCTACCTACCTACCAACCCACCCACCTGCCTTCCTACTACCCACCCACATACCTACCTACTTACCTACCTATCTCCTTACCTATCCACCCACCTACGTATCTACTACCTACCTATCTCCCTACCTACCTACCTCCTCGCCTACCTACCCACCTACCAACCGACCCACCTACCAGCCTACCTACCCACTCGCCTATCTACCTACCAATTTACCTGCCTACCTACCTACCACCTACATACCGTCCTACGTACCCACCCACCCACCTAAACCCACTTACCAACCCACCCACCTACCTACTTCAACCCCCCCCACTTACCTTCCTGCCTACCATCTCACCTACCTATCTACCTACCCACCCACCTACTTACCTACCTGCCCACCCACCTACTCACCCACCTTCCACCCACCCACCTACCTACAAACCTACCTACCACCTACCTATACCCACCACCCTACTTTCCTACCTACTTCCTACCTACCTACCTACCCACCCACCTGCCTACCCACCCACCATACCTTCCTACCCACCTACCTACCTCATAACCACCCACCCATCTACCTTCCTATCCACCACCTACCTACCTACCTACCTACCTACCTACCACCCACCAACCTACCTGCCTACTACATACCTACCCACACTACCTACCTACCTACCCCCCACCCATCCACCCACCTACCCACCCCCCTACCATCTACCTCCTATCCACCACCTACCTACCTACCAACCTACCTACCCACCCACCAACCTACCTGCCTACTTACATACCTACCAACCAACCTACCTACCTACCTACCCACCCACCATCCACCCACCTACCCACCCACCTCCCCATCTACCTCCCTATCCACACACCTACCTACCTACCAACCTACCTACCCACCCACCAACCTACCTGCCTACTTACATACCTACCAACCAACCAACCCACCTACCCACCCACCTACCCACCCACCTACCTACCTACCCACCCGCCCACCCACCTACCCAGGACTGCCGTGGGTCAGGGTTCAATAAGCAGTAAGTTTTAGTGTACCTTAACAACCTCACCATCATCAACAGCCTTGACAACAAGACATTAGTTTTGTTGCATCTTGCAACACCTTCCCTCTCTGCAAGTGCACTTAATTAACCACCAACATAAAGATAAATCTAAGTCAGTGTCTTATTATAGGTGATGTTGGCGGGAAATACGTCAGTTTTGGGAGAGTAATTGGTGTTGGGCTCTTGATCCATGACGTTGGATTTGGCATCTACTTCCTTGGATCAAACCTGACTTGCTCCCCCCCCCTCTTCTTCTACCCGTAATTTTGTATGAATTTTTGGGTGGGTTAAGATTATCTTGTGTTATCCTAGGTTATTTAAGATTATCCTGTGTTATTCTTGGGTGATTTAAGATTATCCTGTGTTATTCTTGGGTGATTTAAGATTATCCTGTGTTATCTTGGGTGATTTAAGATTATCCTGTGTTATCCTAGGTGAGTTACATATATGTTACTGTGTAAGACAGAATACACAAGTACAATTATCATATATCGTTTAACGTGTATAAATTACCTAGGATAACCCCCCATTGGGAGTCTACTGCGTAAACACCAGTAATGAAGATTTATTATATTTATCAATGTGTCTGACACTTCTGCTTGACTTTCCAGCGAAGGAACGGAATGGCGATGAATAGAAAGCCGGTTGGCATCAACTTTGAGAAGATCTTGCAGAGTCTGCTGAGTAAGTGTCGGAAATGTGTGTAATTTGAATTTACACTCTTAATTGATTATTTATTTGTAATTACCTGTGCGAAGACTAACCTGTCATGTCCCTATTAAGCAGTACTTAGTCTACACGCTTTAATTATCTGTTTGTGCAGTACAGACTCTCCTCACTTAACAACAGAGTTCCGTTCCTAAGACCACGTCGGTAAACAAATTCGTCACTGAGGAGCATACTATAATGGTAGTGGATTTGTGTCATCCGTCTTTGATATTGTTGTAATGTCACCTTTTCATCATTTATAACATTTCTGGTATATTTTTAAATGTTTATACAGTAGTATACTGCATATTGAAATAAATAGAATAGAGGAAATCAGCTCTAATATACATTATTTAGGTATGAATACTGGTCAGAGAGCCTGTCGTAAGTCCGAGGCGTCAGGAAACGAGTACGTCGCTAGTGAGGGGAGGCTGTATTTGTGTAAGCATACTGGTCAGAGAGCCTGTCGTAAATCCTAGTTGTTGGTGAACAACGTGTTCGCTAAGTGAGGAGAAGCTGTAATTACTTATATGAGGATATATGTACTTGACATGTCATTTTTACACAGTATACTTAGTCTGCACTCTTAGTTAATTACCTGCTGTATTTTTAATTTCCTATGTGAAATTAAATTTGTATGTCCCTTTTACACAATACTTGATCTACACTCTTAGGTGATAAGATAAGATTTGATCTTTTGATGACCTGTCAGGTTCTACACACTAGTATCTTAATTTAATAGACTTGACTTTAACTCTACTAGTGAAAATAATGTAGATGGCCGAGAAGACACAGATGGATGAGAAGATGTAGATGGTTGAAAAGTTGTAGATGGGTGAAAAGACACAGATGGGTGAGAAGACACAGATGGGTGAGAAGACATACACACAGACTTACTTACTATGGTTGAGAAGATGCAGACAGCCGAGAAGACTCAGATGATGAGAAGAGGTGGAAAGAACAGGTTAAAATATTGTATCCAGCCTCAGTTGTTTGCCATGTTGATTCTGGTCCCTTATAATACATTCTCTAAGAATTCGTAAGTTTGGATAATGGGCTTTCATGTCACTTTTATCAGAGAGGTCAGTGTACTTGATGAGAACATCAGTCACATCTTGTACAACAGACATTTTTGGTAGCCTGTTAATATCATCATCATCATCACCATCATCACTATCCTGTTCTTCTATGCCAAGAGACTGATTGCTCTGCAATTTCTGCACCACTCAACATCTAGTGAAGAACAGAAAGGCACAGTACTGTGACTGGAACAGTACGCAAAAATATCCCACACATATTACAGCATTTCGGTCTGACTTGGACCATTGACCAGGATCACCCTCACTTTCTTCTGAAGATGCCATCACATCTTCATGATTTCTGTTTGTCTTGTGCTCTGAAGAGTACAAAGAAATTCACTGGCCTCTTAGCACCACCACTTGCTTTTGAAGCCATTATTAATTGCATTTTACTTAGTATGTTAATAAAGTTCAGAAAATGTTCTAAATCCAGGAAAAAGTTAGAGACTGAATGACGAGTGTATGCATGAATGAACACAAACAATAAATTGGCATGGGCAGCCTGCAGCTGCGGCAACAATAAAAACAAGACAGGTTCTGGATGTGGCCACTTTGGCCCATACTGAACAAACATCACAGTCATCAGACTTGGCCCTATACTTCAGAAGCCAACCGGATACTATTACTGTGGACAAAAATCCAGAATTATGGACTTTTGTCCATCTTGTTTTACACTTCCAATGTTTGATAGGGCATTTTTTTGGTCTGAAATTGTTGAAATCAATTAACAAGAGGTTTTACTGTGGCTTAATTGCAGATGTATAGCGTAGATAAGGACAGTGAATGTTGTATGCTCATTTTCCAAGACTACAGTTTTGCTGGCAGTGCAGTAATTCATTTTAGAGGCTACAGTAAAGTACTGTAAATATTGATTACCTATCCTGAAAATATTAATGGATACAACCTGTGCCGGGTATCCCATGCTTTATGCAGATTCACTCTGTGATGCCCTGTGTGTATTGGTATTTCATCCTGTGTAATATATGGTTGCGACATGCAATTGATTCAAGTCAGAAGGTGCAGTGAAGATTCTTTTTATGAAGAATTAAATGTTTCTTGCCTTGACTGAGCCTAGTACAGCTAGCAAGGCTGTAGGTACTTCCACAGCATGAATTGAGGGATACCTAATGAACAGTACCAGTTATTTTCAGTAACATAATACAGATTAATTGTATTGGAATTGAGCTTTTTGTGCACCTCTGGCAAGAGAGCTATTGAAGAAGTGATGGTGAACGTGCTTCTTTAGTGGGAAGCAATGAATGTTACAAAAATAAATAATGCCAGTCTTTGTACATATAGGATAAATTATTATTCTGTAATTACAGTGGACCCCCCGTTAACGATATTTTTTCATTCCAGAAGTATGTTCAGGTGCCAGTACTGACCGAATTTGTTCCCATAAGGAATATTGTGAAGTAGATTAGTCCATTTCAGACCCCCAAACATACACGTACAAACGCACTTACATAAATACACTTACATAATTGGTCGCATTGGGAGGTGATCGTTAAGCGGGGGTCCACTGTACTGCCAGGTTAAAAAAATATAGCTAACATAATTTAGGAAAGGTTTATGTTTATGAAAAAGAAAGTAAAATAGGTGCTTTATTATATAAGGTGAATTTTAATGATAATAATCATCAATATAACAGACTTTTGAAATATGGGTAAATTGTATTTTTAAGCCCTTCATTTTTTCAGTGTTTATTGCAGTATATCTGTAGATTGTGTGCACAGTATATTAGGTATATAATAGAGTATTTTAATGCTTTTTTCTGCAATTTTTTTTTTAACATTTTGATTTAATTGTCACTTGGATAATTCTTTATGCTGTTAATCCCTTATTTATATCGTGGGTTTACTGTAATTTTAATTTATACAGAAGGCTCTCTGTTGAGTATAATTTTTCATCCGTTGCTAATAACTATATGTAGTTACAGACACACACACAAATGAATAGAAAAAAGAGTACAGTACTTACAAAATTGTAACAACGTGGAATGGATTTAAACCCCACCCATTCCTTTTTTTTTTTTTTTTTTTAGTACAGTACATTCTTATTATTTCTTACAGGTGATGTTCAAGACATGAGAGTGGATTTTGAGGAGAATGGCCTGCCCATCAGTGATGACAACAAGCATTTGCATCAGTTCTGTGACAGACTGGAATTCATCCTTATGTTTGGTCTTCGAGGTACTATTTAATTTCTTACAAAGAATAAAAAGTCACACTACTGTGGCTGGAACAATATACGAATTACTAGTGGCCATCCTGGACCATTGTCGTGATGGACCGAAATGTCATCCTGACGTTCTTTTGCTAAATGTGGGTTTTTGGTGAATTAATTTCTTGTTTTCTTTGTATCCAAGGAATCTTTAATTTAGTTACTCTGTTGACTGAAATAAATCATACCACGGGTGGGGATAGAACCCGTGATCAGAGAGTCTCAAAACTCCAGACCGTTGCATTAGCCACTGGACCAGCTAGCCACAGTAAGATTCATCCAACTAGTGGCTTTCTTGTATGCTTAACAGTGTTTTGTTCCACGTTAACTACATTACCTCTATACTGCAGAAAAGAAATAGATTACGTATTTGTATTTATTTGTAAGCAAAATAGTGCTCAATGAGTGTAATGTGGAGATAATCTAAGAATTTAAACTAGAGTTAGAGATACATAGATAATATGGTTAGCTTCCAGACATGACTCGAGTAAATTATGACATTATTCATTACAAAAGTATGATGTGATAAATACCATTCCAGTGTTTTGCTTGTCTTAGGTGTTTCCTTCAGCACTTGTCAGCAGCTTCTGCCTTATCCAGGAGAAGTAAGAACATCATTGAAAGAAATAACTCTCTAAATTAATATTTCTAAGCTAGTCTTCACTTAGACTACATTCACAGGTCAGCTTCTTTCAAATCCTGGCCTGAAAAAGCTCACCTTACAAATACCAGAGTTAAGATGATCAATACTACATAATATTTCAGAAGTAATTATTTTATGACTGCCACTCTGTATTTTCAAAGATGTGGCAAGTAATTGCCCTTTTCTGCTATTGTTTCTTTTTCCTTTTTCACTGACCATCTCCCACCAAGGTAGACGAATAGTTAACACTCCATCAATGCAGCTCATTTGTGAGTCAAGGGGCCACCTGTATATAATATCCTGTTTTGGAGAATATGTCATGTTTTTGTGAGTCGGTGGTCCAGTTGTATGAATATCCTGTTTCAGAGAATATATCATGAGTTTGCAAGTTATTTAGATACAGTGTGAAGTCCTCAGAACTTAAAGGTGAGCTCAGGAGAATGTGTGTCATAGGAGGACATGTCGCACTAATTTGATTGATTCAACACAAGAACAAATGTTGGGTAATGCTGTCAATGATACCTTATGGAATCCTTTTCTTCCCCAAATTTAATTAGCATTATTGCTTGTTTCTAGTGAAAATTTTCTGTGATATTTCGTATATATTTTGTGCAGTACATTATTGCAATATTTCAAAACATTATACATGCCATGAATATACAAGGCTGTGACTACTTGCAAGCTGTTGCATTTGAACCATTTATAGTATATTGTATTTGTTACAGAACGAAGTAGTGTCTTAGGCGCACGAAAGGATCTCTGGCAGTATTTTTGCAAGTGCCTGGCTGAACGACGCAACATTCACGATGGATTGAAAATTGTAAAGGCAAATACCGAGGTAAAAATTGAATCTGCTTGCCTATAATACTGTGGAATTTTATATATTTTTGTTATGAACTAGTCATCATACCAATGCTTTTTTTTTTTTACACAGCTGTTTGCTGTCCCAGTTGGGTGACCCAGAGAAGAAAATGCACTCACTATAATTTGTTCAAATAATCCTCTGAACTATGACTTTAAGTTTGATAATATCACATTCAGCTAAATCCTGTGGTGGGTCGAGACATAGGAACAACTTCCCTTATACCTGTTGCTCCTGTTCACCTTCAGTAACAGTAAATAAGTATCTGGGTGTTAGCCGACTGTTGTGGGTTGCATCCTATGAATGGTAGCAGGATATACTTTAAATAGGCTCTGAAATGAGCAACTCTTAGCCTGTAAATTCAGTGGTGTACGAAAAAGAATTCCCACTCATCTTTCAGGTTGCAGGTAGTGTGTGTCCTGTCTCCAGATCAAGCTTGGCTAACTGGTTGTTGCGACTCCTTTCATAGATGCTACCTAGCTCACACTTCAATTTGTTTGTGTTATTTTGTTTGTAAGGATCTTTTGTTTTCTGGTATCAAAACTCATAGCACTTCAAACTCATAATACCACACTAGTCTAGCTCACTCATACCATACCAGTCCAGAGTACTACCTGTAATTCTCACTCATACCACACCAGTCCAGAGTATTACCTGTAGTTCTTTGGTCAGCCAGCAACACTGTATGTCCAACAATAAAGGGTTTGGTTGAAGGAAGGCCTGTATATTCTGGGAAGACAGTGATGGAGTGAGTGATGATGAAAGTGTTTCTTCTTTTTCAGGTCACCCTGCCTTGATGGGAAATGGCCAGTGTGTTAAAAAAATAAATCTCTGATATTCTGACTCAGGGTGAATTTTTTTTTGTTTGTAGCTGAAGACTGCTGTAGGTCGTGGTCGGTGCTTCATGCGTTACTGTTTGGTTCATCAGTGCTTGGGGGACGTCATTCAACAGTGTGTTGACAACCAGACAGTAACTCGACAGTTCTATCAAGAAGGTGCTCTTCTGCTTAATGCTAAACTCTACCCCACACTACTGAATTGTTTGTATAATCTTTGTGATGTGCCCTTTGATTTGTCTGCTACCGGACATGACCTTGATGTTACCTGGCCAACATTTGCACGGTAAGCCCCACATTTGCTGTATTACAGGTGCTCCTTGACTTACAATGGTTCAACTTACGAGATTTCAACTTAACGCTGGTGGAAAAGCAATTACTTTGGAGATGAAACTTAAGAAAATTACCCAGCATGAAGCTGGCAAATTCATAACTTGTATTCATTTATTTACTTTTCAGTACTGGTATTTAGTTAGTTATAGTAATTATTTGTTTATTTACTTACTCGGTGACAGAAATTAATTATTTACTTATCGTATTCATGTTTGACTTAGGATATTTTCAACTTATAATGGGTTTGCCGGAGCGTAACCCCATCGTAAATCAAGGAGTACCTTTATATATTTGCATGGCATCCATTATAGGGCATAGTTGCCACTGTAATAGAATTTTGAAAGCAATATCTAACAATTAAAACAATGATGTGACTCAAATTTTGTTTAATCAGTGGGAACTAATGACTAACTTGACATAGTATTTTTTTGTACTTCTGTAAATTGTGAGTTTTTCACCAAGGTAGAACTGCTTAAAGAAGAAAACACATTATTTATAATCATTCATTTAACTGTATTGTATAAGTGCACAGGCATTATATTTCAAATAACCCTCAGAACCACAACATACCCTCTTGTCGTCTATGCTGAATGTTATACTGTTCTTAATAAACATGGATAATGCAGGTTCGTCAGTGTGGTGATAATTGTATGTATTTTGTGGCTTGGAAAAAAAAATCTGTGAAGGCCAAGATGGTGGAAGCCTCATATGAGGAATTTCAGGGAATTTTTAGTTTTGTACACTCATGTTGATGATACAAACTAGTTACGGAAGGAGTTGCATTTACTCGAGCATTTTCATAGTATATAATATATTAGTGCATAGATTTCTCCCTCACATTTTTAGCTGTACAGAGCTTAAGGGGGTCCCTGATTTACAAACACCCAAGTCACTATGATTCACACAGTAAACCATTACAGTATGGTCAATACTGTGTACATATTAGCTTTAATATAATTGTGATTTGGGTGCCCAGTAGTGTGTTAGTTTCATACCAGAATTTATATTGACAGAAAATGTACATTTAGCGCACATCTAGGAAAGTTTCAAAATCTATAAGGATATGTACGACTGTATGTACTCACAAAGGTACACTGATACAGTATACTGCAATCTGTACTCACCTTATTCAGAATTCTTCCTCCGTAAGCCATGCGTGTTGTAAGAGGCGACTAAAATGCCAGGAGCAAGGGGCTAGTAACCCCTTCTCCTGTATATATTACTAAATGTAAAAGGAGAAACTTTCGTTTTTCCTTTTGGGCCACCCTGCCTTGGTGGGATACGACCGGTGTGTTGAAAGAAGAAAAGATCACAAAAGAAATTTGTTTTTGAGGGTTCAACACCAGCCACTATCTCAAACACTTCATCAGAATCAGCAGTGAGAACTCTTAACTAACTTGGCCTTTAGATAATTAGATAACCCTTATACCACCCTTATACAGATCTGTAAAACTACAATATACATAGAACCTCAATGTATTCTCCCACCAGAAACAGTACACAAGGAACAATACACATGTGGTTACAAGAGTCTGAGTCATTCCGATCCAATAAATGTAATAGATATTTCCTGGAGGTCAGCCTTTAGTAGGGACATAAGTGAACAAAACCATGTTCAGACACGGTATTAATAATTTACCTTGCTCACATTCCAGCAGGTTAATAACTGAATACAACTCCACCAGCATATCTCTCCACAGGTGACATCCAGACACCTGTCATGGTGTCTGGATGTCACCTGTGTCACCCAGGGACAACCCAGGTCTCTTCGAGGGAAGGGGGAAAAGGTCTTGGTGGCAGAGAAGAGCTCTTTTTTTTTCCAAAGAATTGAGTTACCCTTCCCTTCCTTGCATCAAGCTTAATTGCCTCCCATTCCCAGATTCTGTATGATCTGTTACATGTTAATTGCTTTCCCCATGAGTGTAATATAATAATGACAGACCTGGGTGGGTTGAATTGGTACGGGAGAGGAGAGATGGAGGTCATAACAGATGTGTCACATGACACAACATAACTCACTCAAGGTGACAACCTCTGTGTCACAATGACAGTTGACATATCCGTTGTTATGTTGGACAAAGTTGCTATACTGGTCAGTGATTACATCTTTCAAGACAAGTGTCAGAGAGACCAGAGGTAGAAAATAAAGGGATCATTTATTATACAGAAGCAAGGGGCTAGTAGCCCATTCTTCTGTATAAATTACCAAATGTAAAAAAAAAAAAAAATAATTGTTCTTCATTTTAGGTCAGCCTTCCTCAGTGGGTGATGGCCAGTTCATAAAAAAAAAAAAATACTCAAGGGCCAGGTACCTAATCTGCTCACTAAACTTTTATTTATGAAATATATGGAAGGAATTATAGATTAAACCCAGTGAAGTCAGGATTACTTTAAGCATAATGGGAGAACAGTTAATCAACATCACAATTCTCTTCCAACATATGCTGTATAAGAAATATTGCCAACACAAAGGTAAGTCTTAGATGAAATATAGAAAGTCCTATATAGGTGCCTGATTAGCCAGGTTGTGGGGGTGTTTGGGCTGCAGGCTACAATACCCTGACTAATCAGGCAATCAACCAGGAAAGTCTTGCCACAGACTGGGTTGCAGGCATCAAAGAACTCTCTGAACTAGTTGCATGTATGCCACAGGTACAGTCCATGTTATTTGAGATGACACAGGAGGCTGACAGTGATAATAACTCACATGGAGATAGAAACTCAGAAGATTAAGATTAATTGATCTGTAGATATCGACCCCCTTCAGGAGTATCCTCTTCAGCTGAAGAGGATCCTAGATGTGGATCAAAATATACAGATCAATTAATCTCCTGAGTTTTTGTCTTCACTAAGATCATTACAGGACATCCTGAGGCTTTTAACAAATTTATCTCTTTGACAAGTTCATTGTGGCCCGATTTAAGTGGAATACTGCTCACAGTAGTGAAGACAAGACACTGTTGTATTAAAACAGTGATCTACAGTGTATAAAGTTTTATCAGAGCCATACATTGTGGTTTAAGCTTGCATTAAGGAACAAGGTTTTATCAAGACAGCCTTTTACTTTGTGTAGAGCTTTCACAGCCATAGAGTGTGACTTGATAAAGCTCTGCACAGAGCTGAACATTGTCTCAGTAAATGTTTGTCGTGTAACTTATGCCTTGTCTTCACTGTTGTAGGTCACGGTCAAATGAACCGTGATGTGTCATACACATCATGGTTCATTTGCATGGCTCTTTGTTAATGTGTTTATGTATTAGTTGACAGAATATTTATGGACTGCAATGTTTTGGCTATTAATATTCTTGCTCTCACTCTGTCTTGCACTCTTACTTTCATCTTTCTTAGTCTCATTCTCTTTGTTCTTGCTCCTGTTTTTTCTTGCTCTCATCTTTCTTATTCTCATCTTGTTCTCATCTTCCACATGTACATCTTTCTTTCTCTCTCCTTTTTTGCTTTCATTTTTCTTATTCTCGTGTTTCCCATTCTTATTTTTCTTGTTCTCATCTTTCTTGCTTTTATCTTTCTTGTTCTCAACCATCATATTGCCATCCATCCTGCTTTGAGTTTCTTTCACCTCTTGCTTCAGCAAGTTGTTTTGAGAAACATATGTTGGCAACAGACACTGAGTAATTTATCTGTATTGGACTGTCAGTGTAGACAGGAATAGCATTAGCAATGTGGGTTCACCAAGGGTATACACCATCGTCAGTATGTGCGCAGTTGGGCGGCATTGGGGCAGTTATGCATTGAATTGCAGTAAAGCTTTGCAATTACACCAGTTGAAGAGTGTGTCGCCTTGTGCAGCAATTGCAAGGCAAGCAAAGAGTGCAGTGTCTACTGGGCCACCAAACGGTGCCGCCTGCCAAGTCTTGTCTAAATTGGTCAGTCTTCTCCTGAGATACATTCTGGGCAAACATTGCATGCTCACACACAAAGAAATTGCAGTTATTTACCCCAGTTATCAAATAATGGCATTATAGTGTGTTAATCCCTTACTTGATAAGTCAAAGGGGTATCATAGGTAATAATAGTAATAACAATTCTTTCTACAAGTACATAATACAAATTATACAGACCTAGCTGATATATATGACATACTATATAGAAAGCCTCTGTTTATGCAGAGCATTTCAGGCAATTTGTGTTAATCTTGTCTCCTAGGATGCGACCCACACCAGTCAGCTAACACCCAGGTACCTACTTACTACTAGGTGAGCAGAGACAGCAGGTGTCTTTGGAAACACACCCAGCGTTACCACCCATACCAGGGATCAAACCACAGACACCCATTGTGTTAGCTGTGTGCACTACCAACCAAACCACAGAACACCTGTATATGTGGAAAATGAGCTAGATCACCTATAGATCTACTAGACAAATAGAAGTTTTTGTACTATCTTGCTTTACCTTTGCTTAGAATTAAATGCTTTGTAGTTACAGTTCTCTCCCATTTCCTTTTGTGTTTAGGCAGTGAGCATGTTAAATATGTAGTGGATCAGTTGGAAGTGTTGGCAGCTTGTACTGAGTATTATGTTTACACTACCTTGACCTCTTGTGTCAGGACACACACACACATGCACTCACTCACTCTCTTCTGCTACTACTGCTGTACTACGCTCATGTTAAGCTCTTCAGTTATGTCACTGGTCAGTGTCCTCTCAGGAACTGTTACAGACTTAAGTGTCAATTGTGGTGTTCAGTAATTCTTCAATATAACGAACGTGTAGAGAACAAAATAAGTGGCCAGTAATGGTGATTGTATTGGACTGAGATGAGGTTGTTTTGCTGTGATCATAACAATAACAGACAATTCTGTAACTAATGGACTTTTTCCGCTGACTCGCCAGATTTTCTCCTGTACAGTATTTGAAAGTCCATTAAATTGAAGGCTATTTAGTCGAGGGTTTACTGAAATAACATGTACCTTACAGGTTTAAAAAATCTTATTAA